AAATAATGTTTCTAAGCCATGGTTATGACGAAAAACACTTGAATCAAGTGTAGACCAATGCAAATGTAATTACTGAGTTTGCAGACAGGCTGAAACAATAGCTCTAAGAGAAGTGAACTGCTCCATTCCCCTCAGTGAAATCCTTATCCTGATCATCTTCTCCTTAGCCCATCAACTGGGGTCAGGTCATTGTGCAAGCATCTGCTATCTTCGTCTGTCCCAGGCAGTACTAAGGCCCACCTGCTTCTAATCTTTTTTGATGAAATCCAGCTCGGAATCTCAGATGACTATTGAAATAGTTAATGGTGTTGACATTTAATTTTAGCAGAAATCAAGTTACTGTGTGTGTTGCACAAGCCCAGACTATGTTCCTCACCTTCTTAGGCCTGGTCTACATTAGGAAGTTTTACCAGCATAATTAAGTTAGTTCAGGGCATGAAAAAAATCACATCCCCAACTGGCATAGCTATGCTCGAAAAAACCCTAGTGTAGACAGTTATACTGGCAAAAAATCCCTTGTGGTATAGCTTCCGTTCTGGGAACTGGTTTAAGCTGTATTGGGTGTGTCCACCAAGGAGTTTGCTGGTATAGCTCTACTTGTGCATCTGTACTTTTCAACCAGAGCCTTTTCAAGGCTCTCAGTTGCCAAAAGCCCCACATGCCCCTTAACCAGCTTGCAAAACTTTCAGCTTTCCCACTGGCAACTTGGCCACTTCTATGTTGCATTGCCAGTACAAAAACCTGAAAATATGGCCTAGCATAAAAAAATAGAGTTTAATATCATCGTATGATTGTACAAATCCTTTTCATATTTCATTCATTGAAAACCTACCTTTTTTCATTGAAATTAGCTGCCACATAATTTCCAGTCTGCTGCACTGGGATGTCACAGAATCCAGGTGGCATGGCTGCAGAGGATCCAGGGCCATGAAAAGCACCATTCTCCCTATAGCCTGCCTGTGTAACTGACATCTAATGCACTGTGCTTGCTTGCCATCCTGAGGGGAACATCTGATTAGCAAAGGGACAGGGCTTCGTCAGTGCATGGGCATCCCTGAGAGTCTGCGGGAGACACTGTGGCTGATTTTCAGACCTAATTTCAAAACTGTTTTGGTCATTTTCTACGTGGCTATTTCACTTCCTCTTCTGCGCAGATTTTGTTTGGCCAGAAGGGAGGGGGCATTAGTTATTTGTCTTACCATAGCACCTAGGAGCCCGACTCTTGAAACAGGACCCCATTATGTTAGGTGGGATACAGAAATGGGGGGGGGGGGATTTGGTCCCTGCCCCCCAAAACTTACAATCTAAGTATAAGACAAGAGACAACAAATTTGTACAGAAAGAGGGGGTGCGCAATAATGAGACAGTATTGATCAGGATGGTAGGCAGTGATCTCGCCAGAGGTGACATGGTGGGGGGGGGCATGTAAGGTGAAGTGTCCCATTCCTGCCCCCCACAGCTGCCCAGGCGGGGAGCAGAAGGGGTGGGTCCAGAGCCTCTGCCGGCTAATCTAGGATGCTGCCCGGTGCACTGCAGCAGCTACTTGGGGGAGCACCTGGCTGCAGTGGCAGCGGGCTGCCTCCTGCCCAGGCTCGGCTTCCAGGGACCGCAGCCGAGTGAGCCAGAGGGCCCATGCCCTCCGGCATGCTCAGAGTTCGCCCCTGTCCCCAGAAGCCGAGCCTGGGCAGGGAGCAGGTTGCCGTTGCCACCCCTCTCCAGCCAGGCACTCTCCCAGGCAGCTGGCTACGCTGCACGAAGCAGCGACCCCCCCTGCCCCGGCCTGGCTGCCCTGGAGATCAGCCGAACATGCCGCGAGGGAGGCGGCACAGCGGGAGGACAGAGCGCCCCGCCCAGAGGTAATGGGCAGGGGGGAGAATGCGGGGAGCGGGGGTAGGGCAGGGAGGAGACATGTGGGGAGTTGTCTATGATCTCAGCACACCTGTGGCCTAACTCTTGCCAAGCTTTTTGGAGGCATTGTGGTAAAGGAAGATACAGAGGTAGCTTTGTGAATGTTCTTGGTGAGCTCTCCCACCCATGCAGGATTCTTCATAGTTGGGGCATTTGGCCGGTCTGACGATATTTAACTTATATATTTGGAATTTCTCCCAGTACCCTGCTTATAGATGTGTTCCTAATACATATTCACTGTTATTGAACAATGTAACTCCCAACATAGAGTTTAACTGAATCATTATTATCCCCACTTTAAAGAAGGGGAACTGAGGCACAAAGAGATTAAGGGGCATGCCCAGGGTCACACAGGAAATCAGTGGCAGACTCAGGAGTAGCAATCAGGTCTCTTAAATCGCAGGCCAGTGCTTTAACTACCAGACCAACCTTCTCATCTAACTTTCATGCTTGTAAGAGTCAATCGTTCCAATACTCACAGAGGGTGAAATTCACTGTTGTGTTGGCTCTCTGCACAGGGATGAAACTCACCCAATAAGCAAGTAAAAAGTGGAAGCAAATTCATGTTTGAATATCTGTGGAAATGTTTGTAAATTTGCACAGTTTGGACCATTTAGATCAATAATAGGGTGAAAAATACTAGAGCTGTTTTTTTAAAAACTTAATTCATAAGCGTTCTCCTAGTGTGACCCATTTCCAGGGGTTGCATGTGTTCTACAGTGCTATGCATGAAAACCCCTCCTCCTTCCCCATTTTATTTTAAATATCCAAATGAATGTGAAAGATACCTTGAAACTGGTTATTTGTTTTGCCTCAGAACAGGTGCATTCCCGTTCTCGCACTTTTGCTTTCCAGATCAGCCCCACAACAGTACTTCATTCCTGAACTAAAGGATTCTTTCTCGTTCTTCATGTTGATGAAATCTTTGCCTGTAGTTAATGGATTAAGACCACCACCAACACTCATTACTCATAGACCCAATTCCCTCCATTCAAGTCACTGAGTTTTGCCACTGACTTTATATGGGATCAATTCTGCTCACACTAAAGACTACCAATCTGCCATCAGGTGGTGGTGACATCTTTCCCTCACTACCAGCACAGGCCATATTTAAGCTCATGAACGGGTGCTGAAAAGCTCAGAACTACTTTATTAGTCCCCTGAGCCATCTGGTCCCCCTGAGAAAACATGTCCCACACCACCTCCTCCAATCCTGAGGATTGGTCAGGCTGGGGCAGAGCTACTGTTCCCAGGAATGAGTGGCTTTTGTTTCCCTGAGAATTTGGGCCAGACACACAATCTCACCTTTCCTTCTAGAGTTGTATGCAATCCGCTTCTATTGAGGATGAGGGGGCAAAATTGATTCTTCCTACTAGTAAGTGGTGGTGATTTTTTTCTTTGTACTTTTTTCATGCAAATTAAAAAGCAAGTCAATTTAAGAAACTTCATGTAGTTGCTTCATCTTGGTTGGGTGTAGGAAGTGGAGCTTTGGAGGGAGCTGAGGATCTTTTGAGAGAAGGAATTTCTTGGGATTTTGAATTCTTAATGGGACACTGATGTTTTCTTACAGATACTTTTCTAAAAGGAGAAGTATTCCTGGAAAGAGTTTCTCCCCCTAAGCATCTGGATTTTAAGAAACACTGACTGCAGGAGGCAAGGGTTTCACCAAAAACTTTCTGTAAATATGGTAAAACAATGTTTGTTCTGAAGAATCTGACAGGTAAAATGAGTATGAATACATTGAGCAATAGGGTGTATTGCTAAGCTCTCTGTCCTGTGATGGGCCATGCACCCACCACCAGCCATGATGGGATTGATGAAGAAGGCCTGAGAGGACAATCAGGTTATCTGGTGTCACTCAGGAATGGGAAGGCCAAGGTTAGTTAAGAGTGAAGACCAGCTGGTGCAGCATTATAAAGCCAGGAGGCTGAAAGCAGAATGAGGCTGCAGGGGAAGGAAGCTTCAGGCATTCCTTGGGATGAGAGAGGTGATCAGGGACAAGGGGGAAGTCCAGGGAAAAAGTATACCTGAGATCCTGCCCTGAAGTAAGGAGTCTAACAAGAGGCTTGGAGGGGATAAAGTAGCCACAGGGAGTAGAGTGGACTCCTGTGATAAACTCAGAAACAGGCAAGGGAAGAGAAAGAGGCTGCGTAGAAAGGAACCCAGGAAATAGCAAAGGAAACGGGGACTGAGCAAACCTGGATTGCTGGTTATAGAATCCCTGGGCTCATTCCCCTACCAGCCACTGGTATAAGGGCACAGAGCCTCGAGCTGGGGCTGGAGCTGAACACTATTTGCAGAAGGCATTTGGACTGTGGACTAAATGGGGTCTTCACCACAGGGCAAGTTTCCAGAAGAGAGACTATCGTAGAGAGCAGGCGGGCACCTGATGCTCTGAGAGCTACTTTCCCAGGACTAGACACAAGGAGGCCCACTAGCAGCGAGGTGAGAACCATGTTACATGGCCCTTGTGCTCATCTGTGCACAGTCAGCTTGAGAAATTTGTGGGTATTTGTGAGCAGCAGCAGTATTGCTAAGTCACCAGTGGGAACGCAGTGTTAATGATCCTTTCGACTAGAAAGGAATTATTAAATCTTCTCGTCTATTAGGAGTTTTATGAAAAAAATGCAGTACAGTGCAATAGCATCCTTCAGAAAAAAGATCACAAAAAGCTCTTGAGAGAAGAACGTGTCAGTCCTGGTTGAGTTCCCTTATGGATGGGACTCCTGTGCTGGACCCAGGCCTTTGGATCCCATGTGTTTTTAAGCCTAATAGGTCTGAGTAGCCTCCAGGACTATCTCCAAGTCCAGCCTCTGTCACACTCCTGGGGTAGAGATACAGTACCCTGTTCGTTGGATGTGGGACCTTAGGGTCCTCTTGCCCAAGCTCCTAAGACCAGTGCTCACCCTCCAAGTCTTCCCAATATCTTAAGCACATTCTCCCTAGAGAGCCACCCTAGTCAGTATTCTGAATTGCTGCTTCACCCTTCAGGGACCTGTTAAAGCAAGGAACACACAGAACTTGAAAAATTTGTAAAACCAATCACCCTTTACATATAGACAGAGCACAGGAGATATACACATCTATGAAAAATAACTAACACCTGCATGCACGACCCTCCCTCAGTATCCTCATCCCACTGGAGGGCCCTTTGGATCTTAGTCAATGTCCTTCCAGGGAGTCAATGATCCTCCTGTACTCCTTCTCCTCCTTCCCAGTCTTGTCTTCAGGTCCTGGTATCTACTTGCTAGAGAGAGTCTCCTTTTAACAGCAGTTTCTAACACCTTATGTCTTCCATTCTCCAGTCCTCTCTGGGGTGTGGCTTCCAACCCTCTGTTTTCCTTACAACAGATAAGTGTCATTAGCAAATTAATTGTCTTTGTCTGGTAGTCTCCATTGTCCTGCCTGAACAAGGTTATTCAATTGTTGATGGTCCTTCCCCATCCACAGACAAACACCTAGGTGCCAAACCCTTTCCCCTCCTCATAGCACAAGAAGGATGACATAATTCAACCTGACTGTTACATTAGATAGGGAAAGACATCACCAAGTGTATAATCGTACAGAGAGTCATACAATCAAACTGGAATTCATAGACATATAACAGAGAAATAAACTTTAACAGGTGCAATGACTCATACAAGTGAAAAGGGAAAATAATCTTTAGGGAAGGATCAGAAGACAGGAGGAATCTTAGACTACCAGGGCTCAACACACTGTAGTTCTTGGGAGTATCTTGTGGTATGCACTCATCTGAGCTTAGCAGTGGAACTCTGTTTACAGAAGATGATGAAATAGTCCTGCCAAAAGGTCCTTGACAACATGTCATTGTGAGGAATTTGCTTCCCCGTGCCCAAATCTGGAGCTCTGTTCAATCTTGTGCATGTGAGCAAGAATCTGGGTTATATGCCCAATCCCATGTACACTCTGAGATACCAATGGGAGCCAAGTCATTGTCCATATTTTTCCTGAAGAAAAATTGGACACTTTAGAGCAAAGAAGATGCAAATCTTGCAAGTGTTTTTGTAAAACTTGTTGTTAGGGCTGAGTGAATCTCTCTGCCCCCTCCCAAATTTTGAAGGCGCTTCTACTGTGTTTGTGCCCTGTTCAGATTTGCATTTCAGAATATCCTAACAAATAAATTTACTATCCAGAACGTTCTCAGAACTGGTGAATTTTAAGTGAATATTTGCAGAAAGCAAATTTTGAACTCATAAGCAGTCATTAGTAACCTGTGTTTTAGAATTGTACCTATCCTATTAGGGACAGGAAAATAATACCACATGTCCAATATGAGTCCAGTCAAAGCCACCCCACACTTCTTGAATTATGAATATTGAATGTTCTCACCCAGCTGCCTGCAAATGATCTATAGACTGAGAATTATTTGCTGAATTTAATCATTCAATAATTTTGAAAAGTGTATACACATTTGAGAAAATCACAATCTCTTCACAGACAATTCATGAACGGAAAGAAAAAAAGTACACTTAATTGATTGAATGATTTTCTGCAAAGGATATACCTAGCTCTACTCTTTACAGTGAGGCAGGAAAAGGATGCTCATCATAACAGCTAAATGGAAAAGTAAGAGGGGCTTAGAGTCAGCTGTAGATTAAAAATGCAAAGGAAAATTGCATACAAAGAACAGGATTCAAATGATGCGGCTAGGTACAGAGTATAATAGCTTTAGGTCACAGAGAAAGTTACAGCAAAGGGCTCATCATAAGGGCAGTACACATTTCAAATCCTTCTTGCTCTTCGTTGCAAAGCCTCCCCTGTTGGTGAAAGCAGAATGGTTGTACCATCATGGCAGTGTTCATTCTCTATGAATCATGGCTGCCTTCCTCCTGGCAGGATTTGAGTATAGCCACTGAAGAAACAATCGTCTCATTCCTGGATGGCGTGCAAAGGAAGAAAGGAAACAGTTTATCAGCAATAATGCATAATGGAGAACCACTTCCTATTAATTAAAAAAATAAAAATACAAAACTGTAACGTGAGCATTTCTGAGCTGGCTGATTTGCTAATGTGGAACACTGGCTGGAAAAAGGATGATAATGTGGAACACGAGGGCATGACTGCTGATCTAATAGAGAAAACATGCGGAAAATACCATGCAAAACACTGACCAAATGACTTCATGTGACTGGCAGGTTTCTTTTTCTGCAGCGGGCAGATTGTTCCCAAAAAACATTGGGCGCATACCTTTCTAATGGGTGAGGCAAATGTATAGGGTATCTTAGACCAAAAACACATAGTTTGTTTCCCATACTATAGCTGTCTCAGAGATACATAAGGCATAAATCCATTCTGGATGTGGAAGGGGACAAGGGTAACCAGGGCTTGATCCTGCAGTTGGATCCATGAAAGTGAACCCCGAATCTATGTGAAGCCCCACTGTAGGATTCCGTAGGTTTCTGCACGGGCACAGCACTTCACTTATGTGGGTTTGATTGCAAGATTGAGGCTTACCTGAGACATTTATTGTTCACACATTGCTTAAGGTGCTTGCAGGAGCTCTGTTTTACTCAAGTCCTGTTCCTTCCAACTGTCTGTGCACAGCAGTAAGAGCTGCACAGCACCCTACCCAGATTCTCTCTCTTAGAAGCTCAGCCCTTAAAGGCACAGGTCCCTCTATGTCACGCTACCCAATACTTAAAATCCATTTTTTTCTTTATTTTTCCATCTACCTACACACTGAGGGTAGATGCAGCTTGCTTACTCTATGCCTTGGTACTTGCACAGAACTCCTTGTAACCTATCATCACTTACATAGCTTGATCTTTACATCTAGTCCAACCCCCTTCACTTTTCATCTAGTCCAACCCCCCGCTCAAAGCAGGACCAACCCCAACTAAATCATCCCAGCCAGGGCTTTGTCAAGCCGGGCCTTAAAAACCTCTATGGATGGAGATTGCACTACTGCCCTAGATAACCTATTCCAGTGCTTCACCCCCCTCCTAGTGAAATAGTTATTCCTAATATCCAACCTAGACCTCCCCTACTGCAACTTGAGACCATTGTTCCTTGTTCTGTCATGTGCCACCACTGAGAACAGCCAAGCTCCATCCTCTTTGGAATCCCCCTTCAGGCAGTTGAAAGCTGCTATCAAATCCCCCCCTCACTCTTCTCTTCTGCAGACTAAATAACCCCAGTTCCTTCAGCCTCTCCTCATAAGTCATGTGCCCCTGCTCCCTAATTGTGTTCGTTGCCCTCCACTGGACTCTCTCCAATTTGTCCACATCCTTTCTGTAGTGGGAGGCCCAAAACTGGACGCAGTACTCCAGATGTGGCCTCACCAATGCCGAATAGAGGGGAATAATCACTTCCCTTGATCTGCTGGCAATGGTCCTACAAATGCAGCCCAATATGCTGTTAGCATTCTTGGCAACAAGGGCACACTGTGACACACATCCAGCTTCTCGCCCACTGTAATCCCCAGGTCCTTTTCTGCAGAACTGCCGCTTAGCCAGTCGGTCCCCAGCTTGTAGCAGTGCATGGGGACTGACTCACCCCCTTACTCATCTCTTTTCTAAACCGAACAGTCCCAGTCTTCTTAATCTCTTCTTGTTCCATACCTTTAATCATTTTTGCTGCCCTTCTCTGTACTTTTTCCAGTTGTAATATATCTTTTTTTGCGATGGGGTGACCAGAACTGCACTCAGTCTTCAAGGTATGGGCATACCATGGATTTATATAGTGGTATTCTGAAGAAAATCCTGATTGAACCAATTTGTTTAACTGAAGTATAACAAGCATATATACACTAGTGGCCTGTGCTAGCTGCGGCAACAATATTATTAAGTTAACCACTGGGCTGACTCAGAAATGTCTTGTGGTTTTAAGAGTTGTAAGGTGTCTAGATGCTATGACAGTGGGCGCAATCCAAGTGGGGGGGAAGAGAGAGAGAGCACATAGGCCGACCTACATAGTAGTCTGGCATTGTGAAATGAGACCTTCGTCGTTTCCGTGTGTTTCACTGGAGTATATGCTGGCATGCATTTGGTCAGGCATATTTGCTCAGTCAGTCATTTTCTTAACATATTTTTTCACCAAGGCAGCATTTCTGTATAACTTCCAGCCTAGGGGGAAAAAATATTTGGCTTTAACGAAGATATTAAGTATCTGACCGGCTCATGCTGCTGGTCTAGTCCCTCATGCTTTTATCTTCAGTGAACCACAGAAAAGACAACATAAGAGGTAAAGAGTAGGTTGGATGTCTGTCTCTTTCTATCCTGCACATAAGAAACATACAGTACATATTAAAAATTATTCTGAATAATAGTACCACCAGGAATATTGGAGCTACAATAATATACAGTTCTTGGCAAAATATCATGCTGGATCCACAGTCCAGCTATAATTATCTTGCATCGTAAATTTCATTTTCCCATTAGGCCCTGTTTTTTCACTCTTCCATGCTGGAAATATGCCATGTACCTTAATATGGGGTTGAAATCTTAATCCTAGTTTTATTAGGTCTATGAAACCCATATGTATTGTGCTATATGGGAATTAATCCCAGGTGACTGTTGGCGAACTGGTGTCTGTAGTTGTCAAGTATTAGTGTCCTTAAAGTAAGCGTGTGATTTAGGTGGTTTTTTTGTTTGTTTGTTTTTGTTTATACTGCACACTCTGTTACATTTTTATGAGATAAAGACAAATGGAATGCTTGGCCTTAATCAGTTCAAATGCTAGTATTTCCTAACCCACATCACCAAGATAGTCTCACAGCTGCTCAGGCTTGTTCCAATAAGCTTTAAAATAATAATGGAAAGGTTTATAAATGAGAGAGACAATGTAGGTGAGGTAATAACTGCATTGGACCATCTTCTGTTAGTGACAAGTACAAGCTTTCAAGCTTCACAGAGTTCTTCTTCAAGTCTGTCAGTTCTGTGAATCTCTGTGTACTAGAAAATGGTCTAGTAAAAGATATTACTTCACCAACCTTGTCTCTCTCATATCCTGGGACCAACACGGCTACAACACTGCAAACAAGATATAAGAATAGTGGAAACCAACATGAGATTAGAAGCAACAGGCCCCAGTGTGTCCTAAACTAAACCTGTTGTAACTCTAGTCTCTTCGTGGGGGTAACTCATGTCAGAATTTGGCCTATTAAACTGTTTTGGAGAAAATAATGCTAAAATGCGGAGGTGGGAGTGACTCTGTCTTTGTTTGCTCTTAAAGGACCCATGTCATTTTAATTTCGGTCTTCGGGAATAGGGTTGTGTGGTGCGGACAAAAAAAGTTCATGGCTTCTGAAATCTCAGACAACTTTTAAAAAGGAGGATGACATTACTGCGACCTGGGTACTTTTTCATTTACACAAGTAGTGTCCACAAGGGGGAGTTACAGAACAGCAGGCTAATGCATGCTGCAATTCATACCCTTGCAGTCACACCATATAGATCATCTATTTCGCTCAAACTCAGTTACAGTTAAACTCTGTCTACAAGGGCAAAAGCAAAACCTGCTGCCCTCCTGCAGCAAAGAGAGGGAGATTTTGGATGACTTCACAGGATGTGCAGAATCCAGAATAGCACAGGTTCACAGGGAAATCCCTACCTGCTTGTGCAAAGATGAGTGAGGTACAGAGGGCAAAAGAAGATCCTTCTGCCTCGTGAGGTGGTAGGGCTGTGGAGGCTGCTCCAGACATTGGGCTGGACTGGCCACCGTAGAGTGAGGCTGCTGTTGCTTCATGGCTTGTAGGGGAAGATTCCTTCCCCCAACACCATGGAGTTCTCCAGTGCCTGGCTGAGAAGCTGGGAGAGAATATTGCCTCAGTGGAGAGAAAGTAGAGAATTCTTTCAGTGGACTTTCACTCCTCCTCTTCATTGATCATAGCTTCCCCCCCAGAATATAGCAATAATGGTGGGGAAAGAGAAGAGAAATCGCCTCTGTCTTGGAAGAGGAAGATCAAGCAGCAACCCTTGCATTGTGATTTTTGCTGTAGATTATCCAGCAGGGAAGATAGAGGTGTCAGGCCAGTCTTGCTACTCCTGTTTCACCTTCAAAGTGAAAGTAGGGCCTCCCAGAGGCTGTACCAGAGCTGCCAACTCCCTCTGCCACTACACTGAAGATGTGCCACCTCTCCTGAGGTGCGGGACAGGGATCTTTTACTTCATAGGCCCTCTACTACTACAGTGATATTCTGCTTGCAGGGTGAAATTCAGCCCTGTGAAAAGGCCATCTGCAAGGCTTAGGCCTGAGGCCCAAAATGGTGCATCGGACTTGTTCTGGCTCTCTGCATTGTACCTCCAGTGACAATTTTCATGAGGAGGGGAGGGAAAAAGGCATAAGAAGATTCCATTGTATATCGGTCTCCTTCACTATAATTATTACTCACCCCTCCCCTTCTCCAGCCTACCCTAATGAGACAAAGATTAACAGAATTTAGGATTTCGAATCTGCCAGGTTTGAGAGAGTTCACACTTCCCCAGGCGGATTCCTACAATCTCTTTTTCATTATGCCTCTGTGGCTGTGTTGTGTTGGGGAGCAGGTGGGCAGCTACAGCTTGTTTTATTTCGCAGACTACCTGACTTTATTTCCAGATTTGATTTTCTAGGAGATAAAGAATCTTTAATATTTTGCTAGAAAAGCTGATTGAGTGAGCTTAACAGAAGAATCAGGAGTGTTAATCAGAGGCTGCTCTACCTACAGGCAAGCTAGGCAGCTGTCTAAAGAGGCAGATTTGGCCCACAGACTGGGCTAAACCTGAGTGGCATTGTGATCCGCTGTGCCATGTCACAACATCACTCACTCAAGTTTGGCCTCGCTGTCCATCCATCACAACAGAGGGGAGGCTGGGCCAAACTGAAGTGTTATGGGAGGCGGCCTATGGAAGTGTTGCCTACAGCAGCAGATTGCCTTGAGTGGCCTCTGGTATTAA